GAGCACACAGAGGAACTCAAAACCGGCAACAATGTACAAAATTTCAATTCCCGTTGATGATGATTCAACAATGTCCAAATTTATAGAAAATCAAAACCGTAAACCCATTTCCGCACAAATCAGACCCAATCTAAAAATCGGAGGAGAAATCACACTAAAACCCAATCTAAAATCAGACCCGATCGTTTTCTTTGATTGCAAAAAATCAAAACCCTAAAACCCAAAATACAGGCGGAATAAAAATCAAAACGAAATCCAAATGTTCAAACCAAAAAATTTCGCACAGTTAGAGAGGCTTACCTCTTGATTTGATGATGATAGACGGGCAGTCGTCGTCGGAGGAGATGGGCGATATGCAAACGGAAAATCACGCGGAGGAGAAACCAACCGAGCTCCGACTGGCGAACGGAGAGAGAGACCAAACCTCAAACGGAGAAGAGGGGAGAGGATAGAACGCACAAGAATTTTTTTTTGCAGGGGACGAGAGTGATTCTGGAGGAGGTGAGCGGAGGAGAGTCGGGGGAGATAATGAAAATGAAGTTTGATGTGGTAAATTTTAACTTTCATTGAGGGTAAAATTGAAAATAGAAAATTTCATTAAAACCACAAAATAAATTCCCGCATAATCTAACATCAGAATCAGCCTTAAGGCTGATTTTGATTTTAACTTCATATTAGAATAAAATTATTTAACAATATGTTTTACCAACAACTTTTTAGATTTTAGATGTGTGAAAAAGTGCTTTTTCTCTCCTAAAATCAATACCAAACCCACCCTTAGTTGCCTGAGCTGATAGAGCTGTCATGCCTACTTGTCCGAAGGAGCCTTAAAGGTGTTGGCGCGCTTCCTAGCGTGTTTACTAATAGGGGCTTGAAGGTTGTTGCTTGCTGAAGGGGTAATAAGGCCTTCTTATTAGCAGCCTTACTAATCAATAGGGCGCGCCGTACACTGTTAGTCTTGTTAGCTGTGAGTCATTAGTTTTTGTTCCACATTGTGTCATGTATTGCTGTTTGAGAGCTTACCGCTAAATGAAATCATTTTAGTACACTGACTTCGCTTGATGTATCTAAAAAGTGGGATAGTTCTTAAAGCTCCTTGAGAGCTGATACCGACAACACAGAACTCTAGTTATTTCCTTCAAGTAATCAGATTTCAAAACATCCTTATAGTTTTGGAAGAAGTCCACAATGAAACCACCCGGACCTGGCAATTTATCCCCACAACAACCAACAGTAAGTTCCTTATTTTCATTCATTCAAAAGGTCTCTCCAACCAATTAGCTGAAAGGTGCGAGCGGGATACCAAATTAAGCCATCACTGTCCATCCTGATTCTGAAGTTGATGGCTTTTCTACTTCTCTTGGTCGACTAATTCGTACCTCTTATGATGGTTTCATGTCTGATTTCTTGGTTGAGGGTGTATACAGTATTTCTTTTCTGTTTGATTATTTTTTATAATCATAATGACGAATTTATGATCTTATAGGGCCCGTTTGGGAGGTATACTCAGACCCATAATTCTTAATTGTGACGTTTGAAATTCAAATTTTTTGTGAGAGCTTTACACTGTAGCAGAATTATGGGTTTGAGTATATGAACCAAACACCCCTATAGTTTTAATCCTTGGTTTGTATGGTTGCTGTGATGCAACTATTTACAGACAATGATTGAAAGATTGCTGTTGATGCTCCAAGATACTGATTATCGTGTGAGGTAGTCTTGGCTAGACACATCGGTGTTCTTTTCCAAACGCGGGAAGGACATGAGGAGATATTCGAAGATATCTGGTGGGTTTTACTCTTTTTTTTTTTTGTTTTTTTTTGTTTTTTGTTTTTGTTTTTGTATCTTTTAGTTTTCTTCCCTATAATTTTGTCTGCTGTTTATTTCTTTTTGTATCTTTTCTAATTTTTATCATGGTACAAGTCACATAAACCGACTCAAACTTGTGTGATTTTTTCTCTTGGAACCCTCAAACTTGTGATTGTAACATTTTTTTTTTTTTGTGTGGAGGCATACCATTGTAAGTTGCTTGATTAATTTTGCTTTTGTTTGAAGTTATTGGAAGCAGAGTACGTCTTATGTTTTGAGTTTAATCATGTAGCTCATCAGATCTTTTATGATTGTGTCTGAAATCTACTTTTGTGCATTTTGAGAGGGAAAAAAAAGGAAGAGGAAAAACGGTGATCTTGATGATTAAGATTTGGTTGCGAGGTGCAATTCTGTTTGGCTGACAGCCTTTCTTTTCTTTTGTCCCCCGAGTAGTTCTTTCCTCCTCCTATGGGGAGTTCTTCTTCCTTTTTAATAATCCTTCTTCATATTGACAGATAATGTTCTATACAAGACATTTGATTTTTTTTATTAACTTTGATTTGATATTCTGAATTAAAACTTTAAACCTGTCATCCGAATTTAAAATCACATGAGGTGATTTCTTATAAATAAAGGATGTAATGCAGAAGTATAAGTCAAATCATATTTGAGAACATCATTTGCTTGTTTTTTAAGTTGACTAAAACAAATGGCAGAGGCAGACATGGAAATAAATTGTCACTTTCAACTGTGGTCTTTTATTTTTTATTTTTTATTTTTTTAAGGGGAAAAAACACCCTTAACTCTTAGAGCATTGTTCTTGCTCCATAATTGCATAGATGCGACTCATTTTTTCACTTTCTAAATTGTTGCACGTTGAACATGGATGTATGTTTGGTATATGATGTTCGTATTTAAAATGTCAACAGCATATATTTCTCATTCTGACATCTCCTTTTTACCTGGCTGAGTCGTTAGTTCCAACTTTGGCGTTACATTGGTTGTTTCCTTAAAAGGCAAAATTGTCACTGCTAGTGAGGTCTTAGCTTCTGGTCCTCAGCCTTGCCCCACGATGGAAACGATTATTGTTACTCTGATGCACCTTGCATTGTACAGTGAGAAAATAGCACAACAGGTATATTTATGTTGCTTTTTTCAGTGTGTTTGGATAAAACATTACGTACAAGGAAAAGAAGGATGCTGAGTCTGCTAAAAGAAAGAATTCGAGGACCACACAATGGAGATTGGAGAATGTGAAGGAAACTTTTGCACAGTAATTAGGTGGTCAGGCTAATGGAATAACAAATATATTTTGGTTCTGTATTGCGTGTTTGTTTCTTTTGCTGGAATCTGGTTCTCCTTTCTTTGTTTCCTCATCCTTAATGGTTAGATGCATAAACAGCTAGCAGTTATTAAAAAATACTTAAAACCTGTGGTTGCAGACATAGCCTTGCTGTGACTGTACACACTCCACCAAAAGGTGCGGAGTTCAAATTCCCCCACCCAACGTAAAAAACTACCTAAACAGTGGTTTCAGTCATTTTTGAGTTCAAAAAGATCAGTTTCTAATTTATTCAAACCTCTTACTGTTCTTTTCTAATTTCAAGTTATTTTAATTGGCTTGTGTTACCTACATTATAAAGGAGCATTACAATCATACGGGTTTCTATTCATGAGATGCAGGCTGTATTTATGATGTGTGTAATTTCTTTCATTGATCCGTCTCAGAGGTGCACATTTCTCTCTGTTCTGCAGAATTGATTTGACATGTTATGTTTTGGTAATTGTCTATCCCTTTCTTTCTTATTTATTTATGTTTTCTTTCAGGGAATTGGTTTTTGTGGTGCTTGATAATCTTTCGAGAAAGCTTCAGTATACAACTAGGTTTAAGGTGATATAGAATAATTCTCTCCTTCCTGCTGTTGACACATGGTTTTCATCTTAGTCTTAGAAGTGGCTGCTAATATTTGTGATCTTGTGAAATAATTTTTACTAATACCTACTAATGCCAAGGAATATTTGAACTATAGATTTCATTTAACTGTTGTATTTTTTGTCTTGACTGGGAAGAAGATATATACAGGTTGAATGTCAATTTATTTTTTATTTTATTATTATTATTATTATTATTATTTTTCTTTTTGCAGTACTTGGAAGAACTCGTAGCATCTATTCTCTTTTGTTGGGTTGCTTGTGGTGTAAGCTTAGCTGCAGTCGTTGAGGTACAGTGCTCATGTTTTTCACAAGAATATGTCTGAAAATGTGTTATGTTTACTACCAGCAAGGATTTCCAGTTTCCTATTTTCTTTTCTTTTCTTTTGTTTTCCCGGAGGATTACTGGTCCTGTTTTGTGTTATATTATTTTTCTTTCTCTATCTTTGTTTCTTATAGAACACAACATATGTACATACGTAAGTACATATGTATTTATTTATGTATGTACGCGCGTATATATATATATATATTAATATATATATATATATATATGTCTGTTGTATGCTGCTGATCCTCTTGTTTGAGTTGTATGTATATATTCATACTAGTTTCATTTTCTCATTACAGATAAGACAACTCTTTGTAGCAGATAGTGAACCAAGCTATTTCATGCTGTACTGTTGCAATTGGCTTCTTCCAACTTTGGTTCTGCATGGTGACAGTTCTAACCTCAGTTGGGTCTCTAAGGTAGGGTCAGCTGGGAGGTGAATTTATTAGATCAATCTTTCTCTCCATGCATATTGTTGTTGGCCTAGCTTTTCTGTTGGGATTTAGAACTCTTATTACATGTGATTGTAAAAGGTTTTGAAAGGTAAATCTGGATGGTAGAATAATTATGTGCGAGCTCTAGGTATTTACTAAGATTGCATGCTGAGTTGTTTTTTTGGCTATGATGTTCATTGTGTTGGCCTGGGTTTTCTGTTGGGATTAAGACTGCATGTGATTGTAAAAGGTTTTGAAAGGTAAATCTGGAAGGTAGAATAATTATGTGCGAGCTCTAGGTATTTACTAAGATTGCGTGCTGAGTTGTTTATTTGGCTATGATGTTCATTGTATTTCTAATTTTCTGCTTTACAATTGGTTTCTTTATCTAATGTCATCTTTTTGTTTCAGATTGCTGGCCAACCTTTGTCAATTCTGGTCAAAGATCACTTTGTGCAGATCTTTTCAATTTGTATTGAGTTGCACTGCAGCAATACATCTGATGGGCATAAGGGAGCTGATGTGCTTCAAAATTCAATTTTGCAACTTGCACAGATATCTGAGAGTGAACGAGACACACTTTTACTGATGTTGAAGGTATACGATTTTGAACTTATGTATTTTCACATGTTAGTTGTGTAATTCAGGAATTATTTTAATACTTCTCTTTTAGCAAATAAATAAATAAAACTTATCTCATGTTAATTTTCCTTTTTATCGTGTCCCTAATATAGTTGGTGAGGAGAGCTTGCTACGTTCCACCAAGATCTTTTATCAAGGTAATTTGTCCTTTTTTTTTTAATCTCTTCCTTTGGTCGTTGTCAAACTTGAGGCTGTAGGAAACTAATCCAAGCTCAGTTAAGAATGAAATTGATTGTTTACTGGAAGACTTCATACGTTGCTGATTTATAAAATGGATTATATGCCTGGTATATTCTTGTAGTCTTCAAGCTCTGCACAAAAAGTTACTGTTAGAGGAAAATTTTCGGATTGAAAAGGACAAAGATGATCTCATTAATGGATGCGGTTGGAATTTTGACAATGAAATTGTAAACGCTATCTGGACATTAGTACGCATGTGTGGCTCAAATGATGGAAATACTGCTGGAGCATTGGTGTCTGCTTTTATTTTGAGGGTACTGTCAGCAACTCTTTTTTCTTAAAAAAAAATTAATTTTGTTGTTTTTGGCTTTACTTTGTCAAATCTATTAGGTTCTCAAGCATTTTTCTCCACATTTTTCTAAGTAAATCTGCTTACTTTTGAATTCAGGTTGGTATCGGTGACCCATATTCTGTTGTCTTCCATCTTCCTGGAAGCTACGGGAGCCTTGATGCCTGTAGAACTAATAATCGTGACTTGACCCTAGAAGTGAGTTGTCAAATGGATACTGGAATATCTGAAGGTCTCCTGATTGCTCTTTTAAAACTTTTGATGAAGTACCTGATGGACGATTCTGTTAAAATTGTAGATATGGCATCTCAAGCTCTTCGGGTGAGTTTTTGGTGTTGTTTGGATTTTCCACAGACCCAACTCTGTAATTGTGTTGCCTTTTTCTCTTTGGAATATGTGCCAAAATTACACTTTTTAAAGCACGGCTTTAGTAAATGACCACCCTAGTTTTGTAAATTTAAAAATAGAAATGTTGATTTTCTAACAGGTAAATTACTGATTTACTTGGTGTCAATCACCAATTGACTTGGTCAATCATTGATTAGCTGATATTCGTCAGTGACGAACCATGTCAACTAATGAATAACCAAATATCAATCTATGATTTTACACCAAAATCAATTAGTGATTTTCCAATATGAATAATTGTAACAAGCTACATACTCAAATGTTTCTTACGGATTATACAACTCATAACAAGTCATACCAATGATGATATACAATCTTGCATGTCTATAATTATATATAGAAGGGAAGATGGAGTTGCAAGTTTTTGTACTTCAACCAAGTAATCCAATAGTCCACATCATCTATTTATTTTTAACTTGAAATGCAATGGTCAAGATTTATACACATGGCTAATGCATTTTCTCACGCCTCATATCACACCTCACACTTTAACTTTGTTTGTTTGTTTGTTTGTTTCGCTTCATTTCATTTCCTTTTCTTTTTTTAACTTGTTTGTTTAGCTTTTTGAATTATAATAATATTATTATTTCACTTGTGATATTAGTGCTATGAGTAATATATTATGTTAACATATTAAAAGTACATTTGTGAATGAATTTTTATTTATTGATAATAATATGTCAATACTAATTGGACTTTAAGAGTAATATATGTTATGTTAATATATGAAAAGTACATTTCTTTTAATTGATTGGTAATAATAAGTTAATACTATTACTAATTGTACTTTAATATTCATCTTTAAACCTAAATTCATAATCAATTAAGGTTTAATATTAATATTAATATCAATATCAATTACTACTTTTCTCTCTATTTTTATTAATAAAAAAGTTAAGGTAGAAAAAGGGCACGTCCCTCAAGCTAGTTCTTTTAAATATGTGTATATACATATTGATAAATACTGGAGCAACATATGTACTTAATAAAATAATGACTTTTAACATTATTTTACAGAGCGTAATGTGTGAGGTACTTTAAAAACCTCTGTAGTAGTTTGAACATTTATGTAGCTAACCTTATCGGTCTTGTCCGGGACTTGTATTTCATTTAGGTGGTTTTTTTGTTTTGTTTTTGATAATAAAAACTTTATTGATAAAAATCAATAACAAAGGCAGAGGACAAGGTATCCTCAAGCCGAAAAGAAACAAAAATGGCCAGGATTATGTATGTATTTAAGTATTAAAGGATATCTTATATGTGCTTGTGACACTTTTAAATTTGTGATTTTTGCTTTTCTTAATCAGGCAATTCTTTCTACCGAAAGGGGTCAAAAAGCTCTGCAGTCATTTGTTTCGTACAAGAGATCTCTTGTTGAGGTGATTATTATGCATCTTCTCTGCTAGACATTTTAAGTTTTCAATTCAGAATATTGACTTATCTGTCCCAATTTTTTGTACTTGAATTTAACATTTTGCTTTAGAGTAATCTCATGGTGAAATTAATTTGACTGCTTAAAATTCATGTGAAGTATTTCTCACTTTGCAGGTCCACTCGAAGGGTATTAATCTTGAGCTAGTAGAAAAATTCCATTCAGATCTCGAAAGGAAATATAAAGGTAGATTGGTGCTACGTTTTCAAAACTTACTATTCTTGCTTAAGGTGATGATTCTAACTGTAACGATTAAAGTAAAGGTCGCAATATAACAAGGATAAAAGGATGAATACATTTTAGGGGCTCTTTGAGTGATCACTCATAAGTAGCCTTCTCTACTTACTCTTCTTGCTAACTTTCAGAAATATGCTATCCCATTTTTCTGTTACTTTCTGTTCTTTGAACTTCCATTTTCACGAGAACATAAATACAACTAGCTAATATATACCACCAACATAGGTTAATGAAATTTTCCCTCCCCCTGTTTACTTCCTCTTCACAACATTTCGATTACTGGTGTTTGAATAGAACACATAGATATTTGCCCGTCTCTGTCTGTCTTTTCTGGTCTCTTTCTTGTTGTATGCTTTGTCCGTTCTACATGCAATGATTCCATAAATTTCCATCTGCCGAAGCAATGTCATTGGACGATTCAACCCTATGGGAGACACATGGTAAAAATTTTGAGACATGGATTTGTCCGCTTGCCTACGTGCTATGTGGCTATTGTAATGATGTAATTCTAAGGTATTTTTTTTTCTTTTATAAATTATTTGTCTATTGAGGGTTTTGTTTTTTTGTTTTTTTGTTTTTGTTTTTGCATTTAATCAAACAAATTTATTAGATTGACGTACTGCTTTCAGGTTATGCCAGGAGGTTGCTTTTTCGAAAGCTGAAGTTGCAGAGCTTCTATGGCCAAGTATTTTCGTCAATCTGGCTGGGAGGGGGAATATAGATATTAATCTTCAACTTTTGATCTCCTCAAAGGTTGTTTTGTGAGCAATTGTATTTCTACTTTTTTATTTATTCTTTTCATTTGCCTTTTTCCCCTTCTTTTGTTTGCCATTCATTTAATATTAATAGACATATTTGTTAAGGTTTTACCGACTTGTGTTCAAACTTCAGATCATTTTCATTCTAAACTTGGCAGGAACTCGGAAAGATATCATCTTGAGAAAGGATTGAATTGGATGAATCAGAATTACTGTCAAGTGGTCATGGAACCTATACAAACAGACGAGCATTTTGTTGATGGATTCCATTATATGGATAAGAGAATGGTTTGGGAATTGAATCTACCTAGACAACCAGACAAAGCAATTAATTGATGTTTTTTACTACATTGTGAAGAGATATTAATGGTTTGGGAATTGAGTGTGGATGCACTTAATCTGATGATTTTCTCTATTATGTTTGATAGTAGACTGACCTTTTTTTCTCTCCCTATTACTTGTTTTTTAGAGCTTTTAATTTTGACTGCATGTTAGATGCCCTACTCTTTATTGGATGAAATGTATGATTACTGTGTTGCGGAACTTTATGGCTCTGTGAACTCTACATCTCGTGCTTTGTTGTTTGAAGGAAAGAATAATTTTTTTTTATATGATTGGTTAATATGCAGGTGCAAGAACATATTTTTGCAGAGTCTAATAGATTAATCAAATCAATTCAAGTCTTCTTGAATGCCCTTAATGAACTTCGGTTGTGTTTTTTCAAGGAAAGATCTTCTGTACCATCGAAACAAGAAATTTCTAAGGTATATCACATCAAATTATGCACATAGTTATGGTCTATAGCTTTTTATTATTACTATTATTACTATTATTATTATTATTATTATTATTTTGTTATTATTATTATTATTATTATTATTATTATTATTATTATTTTCAAATAGATTTGCGTTGCTTTGAGGCTTTTAAGGTTTCTCATCCACTTCTGGCTAATGCAAATTTTTCCTTGGTATTTGCCAAGCCTTTTAGTTATGGCTCTAAATCGCGTTCATCCTCTGGAAAGGCTAGAGAATCAGCAGCTACACTGAAGGCAATGCGAAGAACAAGGCAAATTTCCATGCAAATGTGTTCGGAGAACTTGAGTTTTGGAACTTTGCCCGTGCTTTTGCTCGTCCTTTTTGAAATTGGCTACTACAAGAAAGATTGGCATAATACACATAATATTTGTCCTCGCATCATGCTTGAGGCATTTGTGAAATAAATGCATAACACTGGGTCACCTTTTCCTTTCATTGCTGACAAGTATAATGTTCCCAGGTGTATTGGCTTACCATTGACTATCTCGTTGTTGCCAAGTCAGCAGTTGTGAGTTCATAAGCGTCACTGCTTTACTTATATTTTCTTTCTGTACTTTTGGTGGCATATAGGCATAAGATCATTTCATCAACGTGTGTATAGACTTGTGGATCATACTTTACTGCCGTGATTTACGTGGAGCATTGGTGTGAAGAGCATTTCAAAAGTCTCACACTGGGGAGCCCAGATTTCTCTGACATTGAAATGGTTAGTTGGACATACAGGATATACTAAAGTGATATGCTTTTTGGGACGTAAAGCAGAAATTTTAATGTCCAAGTTGTTTAGAAGAAAATAGACTGGCGGCTTAGGGATTTTTTTTAAAGTTTTTTTTGTTAATTATTTACATACTTCATATATGCTTCATTGCTGCTTAAATGCGGTTCTTTATGTGCGTGCATGTTGTACGCAAACATACATATATGTTAACTTTTGGCACGTCTTCTCGGGTTTAAGATTGTATGTCTAAATTCTGTTTACTGTCTTGTTGCTCCAGTTGCCACATCATATTGAAATTCTTATCTCAGCGGTAACGCATATCAATGAACCTGACAGCTTATATGGGATCATCCAGTCTTACAAGGTATGTAAGGCGCTCTTAATTCGTTCTCAATTGTAAAAAACTCATCCCCCTATTTCCTTACCTCCGCTAATTGGTTTTGTTGTAAGCTATGTTTAATTCGTTCTTAATTCATTTCATATTGATAACATTGGTTTTGTTCTCACAGTTGTGACCTTTTTTGGTTGTTTGTTTTGTGGTGATGGAATTGTTAGCTGACCTCTCAAATAATTACTTGTGAGCACGAGGGAAACTGGGCCAAGGCTCTTGAATCTTATGACTTGCAAGTACGTTCAGCTTCCTTGGTCCAGAGGGATTATAGTTCCCAAAATTCATTACTGGAACGGACTCGGCCAACAGACAATTTAGCAATTTCCGCCCAACAAGATCAAATGAGGAAACCTTTTAAAGGTCTTATTAGATCCTTGCAACAAATTGGTTGTATGCACGTGCTGGATTTGTATTGCCAAGGTCTGACTTCAAGGAAGGTTCATATTCAGCATGATATGGAGTTTATGAGAAATCTCAACTAAATGTATTTTATTTTCTTGAAATTTCGTGTATTTTTTCGAAAGGCTTTACTTACGAGTCTTGATTTTGTTTGTCAACCATTTACAGTACGAGGCTGCTTGGTGAGCAGGAAACTGGGATTTTTCCCTACTTTACATGGGAAATAATACTCAAAGTCTGCAAACTAGAAGTGGTCATTACAATGAAAATCTGCACAGGTAAAATGGTTGAGAGTTTGGATTTTTATCTCTTGTCGAGTATAAACTGTAGCCTTATTTTCTTTTTTCTGTTTCTTTTTTCTACTTTACATGGATATAGATAGGACTTTCAGAGATAAAACTATTTGGATAGGAAATGCTCACCTTTTATGCAACTAAAATGTTGATGCACGAGATGTAACTTTTGTTTTTTTTTTTTTTATGGCTTCTCATTCTTCTTTTTGGGTCCTTTATTTTCTGTGTAAACGATAGATTTTTCTCCTTTCAAATTGTATAAATATCCAAGCCCTCTTTAAGTATTTCAATAGAGTCAATACAATTTTTGTATTAGGAAGGAACATTCAAATAAATACTTTTAGTAGACCATCTATTAGAAATTTCCTTTCTCGCTGATAATGCTAAATTGGATGGATGCAATAGGTAGATAATGTCTTTTTTTGTTTTTTACTCAACGTTGGCAGTGCTCTTTCTTGAGTGCCTCTGCCCTGTTTGTTTGTTTTGAGGAAACCTCATCCTTTTCCTTGTATTGATTTAAATATCAATGAAAGGATTTTCTTATAGAAAAAAGACTCTGTATCAAATCTTGGTAGTTACTAACATCATCACAAGTCATTTAGCATCAAAATTAGTGGTTTATTATGTTTAATCATGTAAATCAATAATTAATGTTTATTAGGTTTTATCATGAAAAACATTAACTAAGATTTATCTTGTTTTATCATCAAAATCAATAATTAATGTTAGAGGTAACTAGATGACAGAACCATGTTCGAAGTATGATTTATTACACTTGATTTACCTACATTAGTGTTATTGTTGTTTATGATCATCCTATTCATGTATCCAAGGACGTATGGAAGGGAAGGGCACACCAGTAGGTTATTCATGAATTAATTTGAAGGGAAATGTACTTTTTTTTTTTTTAATTTTAATTTTAATTTTATTTTTTGAGTTAGCTGTTTGAGGGCGTTGCAAGAAGGCGATTTTGATGTATTTCATATAAAACTGAGAGAATCAAAGCAGGTGCTTTTCGTCTCCTTTTTGTTTCTTTAATATAGGAAGTTGGATTTTGAACAAGTTTACTTGTGCCTTTGACAAAATTTAGGAACTTGTGTCCTCTGTTTTTCATGCAAGTGAAGAGAGCACTGAACACATCTACTCATCAATTATCAAACTCCAGGTACTTAATATAGCTAGCTTGCATTGCACCTTAATATATTCACTTTTTGTTTACAATGTAGACTTTTTTTAAGAATGCATTATTTCTGACTCACGAGGTTATATGCTTTCTGAACATGGTTAGGTTCCTAATATTCTTTTTCTTCCCGACAGATTCTATGTTCTAAGTTTTCAATTTAGTTGCATGCTGCTGTTTGTATAAATGGAAGTTTAGGCTAGCTATAACCAGGGGCAATAAATCTGGAAATACTTCTTCGACTATCATAGTGGAATAGGAAAGATCTTGTTTCTTATGGTTACAAGGTTTCGTATATTACTGTAATTGAAATTAGTGAACTAGAGAACCTTTTGAAACTGTGAAATTCAATGATGGAAAAAGCTTCATAGCTCCTGTATATTACAGGTGTCCAGTCTTCAACTTATTTATTATTTTATTTAAGAAAATTATGTATTTGGTCTTTTTAATGTACTGCTGTACCTCATGCAGATTCTTTATCATCTCGGTATTGCTTGGGATCTACGATGGAGGACATCTCCATGTGAGGGAATAAAATTCTATTCAAACAAGCAACAAGACGTTTCAGGACCTGTAATTCCGACTGTGGATCAGGTATTGAAGTTTTCGAAACTCAGTTCCTGTAAATGAATAGCGGTGTCCTATATTTTAATCCATTAAGCTGACCGCCTACTTCACCCGACTCATAAGCTATTAGCCCAAAAGCCTTATGAACTACACCAAGGATATTATCTAGCCTAACAAGAGAAGTACTGGCCAGTGGAAGGACTTACCCTACCAAGCCAATCAATAAAGTTGAGACAGTGAGAGATCCTGAAAAGTAATACTTCCCAAGTATAATGAGTATATGTAGGACAGCAGTTATGGGAAATTAAAAGAGCTTGTAAAGCAGAACCAGTATAATGACCATAGGAGGGCTTGAACTACTGGAATTGGTTCAAAAATATGAGAAAACCTGATTAAGAACGTCCACAGTTGTCACTAAGTCTTCATGGGACTAGAGCAATGGACATAACAACCGCTAACTCTCTACATGAAATACAAAAGACTAAGCCAAACCACTTACATATGACATTGCGTACTCTTCTCTTAGGAGCAAAATTTCCTTGCATGTTAACACCTAACATGTGTATAGAGACAAATTACATATTTATCTAGATGACTAACATCTGTTTTTGAACGTCACTTAGTTGTCTTGGCTGAATAGGGATTGGACTACTATCTTGAAATGAGCGCGCCTACATATGAATTTGTTAGAACCATTTATAGCATTCAGGCGAGTTCTACTTCAAATCTTAAGTTGTAAAGACTCTACCATGCAACATCTTTTGCAATCTGCATCAACTCTTCGCAAGGTATTTTAGCATTTTATTTATGGGAAAATTGATCTAGCTCCAAATTTCTGGTTTCCTATGCTTATGATTCTCTTCATTTAACAGGGCTCTAGATTTTCTCAAGCAGCTGCTTTCTTGCATGAGCATAAGCTCCTAAGTGTTGAATCAGGAGAACAAGGTTCATCCTTGTATTGGCTTGGAAGGGTACAAAAATACTCTGTTTCTTTCCATATCTTCTAAAGAACATAGTTTCTCCCATCTGAGTTGTATGTTCTGTAATTTAGAGTCAAACTTTTCTTTTTCCTTGCTATATTTCAAACGTTGCACAGTTTATAGCATTTTTTTTTCACATGCTAAGATCTGTTCTTTGTTCACCTTTCTTAGATTTCACATCTCATAAATGCTTTCTAGAATTTCGCATTACCACTTTCTTAGATTCCATAGGTGTCTTAGGTATCCACTGGAAATACTATTACCTTTTTTTTTTTTTTTTTTTTATATCCCATTCTTTATACTCTTTCCATATTTAGGTCGATTTACATTTACCTTGTTTTATGTTTGCAATGTTTTAGTTTATTTTTACATGGTATGGTTATATATTATGAGACTTTTACTGACACGTAAGATTAGATTGGGGACCTTTTATGGCATATATGATGTTTTTCTTATGTTTAAACTACATCAGTGTGTCTTATGTTTAAATTACATCAGTTTGTTGTATGCATAGTGTTTAAACTATTTGAGAAGGATATCTCAAAATGCAAGTGTTTCACTTGTAAGTGTATCACTTTCTTTATTCCTTGCTGAAACACTTCTGTTAAGTAAATGTGTTATTGTTGTTAATTGCATAATCTCAGCTTGAGAGGCAAAGCTTTTGCGTAGCCAAGGACAACATGAGATGGCTATCAGCCTTGCAAAATACATTTCTCAAAATTATCAATCAAATGAAGAGTCTTCAGATGCGTACCGCTTGGTTGGGAAGTGGCTGGCAGAAACTAGATCTAGCAAGTTATATATCACTTTTGCATAATTAATTATTTTATTTTTAACTCCGCCAACAAAATGCTGATATTTTTCTGTTTTCTGTTTTTTGAATACTATGTGATGAAACTTCAGCTCCAGAACTATTCTTGAGAAGTATTTAAAACCTGCAGTATCATTTGCTGAGAATGAGAGAACTATGAACAAGAAGTCCATTGAAAGGCAGGGTCAAGCTCATTTTCATCTCGCACATTATGCAGATGCTCTTTTTAGGATTTATGAGGAAAGGCTCACCTCCAGTGAAGGCATGCGGCAACACGTTTAAGGAAACACAAGGTAATCACTCCAGAACTTTG